ATTCACCACTTTTATTATATAAATATATTACAATACACACTATTGAATAACATTACTGCAAAAAACTAAGAAAAAATCAGACATTGAAATAATTAGGTGATAATATATTTGTGGCAACTCCCACCTGTTAGCGCAGGGGACGCTGACTGGCTCCGATGACCGCTCTGTCAATGCCCACTTTTTGCCAGACTTCCTCGCTCTATTGCGCCCAAGTATGTCACCTACGATTTTTTTTTATTTTTCCCGTGCTCAGGGAACACAAATTAACATTTTTAGAAGATGAAATAATTTTTAATTTTTTTTTTCTTGCACACAGGGGTGTAAATGTCCTCAGGACCCCTTAGCAGTGGAAGGGTTAATAGTCACCTCTGTCCGTTCTTATCTCAACTTTACTAATAATGGTTCCATATTCCTTGTTGGCACCCTCCCCGGAGGTCTGGGGAGCAGTGGTGCAGCCCGGACCTGCGCATGCTCTGTGGGTGATTGTTTTGTTCTGGTCGGTGTACACCTGTGTCGGTGTTCAGTGCACTTTCTCCCGGGTTATACACTGCTCTCGCTCCTCTTATCTCTCCAGTCTTCGCCCCCTGGTTATGGGGTCGTTCTAGGTTATATATGGGGAGCACATCTTGTTATTTCTCTGCTTATGGGTGTGGGGTGGCCAGGAGTGGCCCCTCCTCCACCTCTCCACTGCACCTGATCTCCTGCACAAGCATCTCTGGACATGCTCCATTAGCAATGCTCCCAGACTTTTACATGGCAAAGCTGTGTCGTGACCCGATAGTGCCTCTGCTCTGCAGGTGAGATTATACGGTCTGGTGTCTTTGTAAGCCGTGACTCTGGACGTTTATTCATTGCCCGTCGTTCAGTGCCTGGCTGCACCCTTATATATGTTCCGAACCATAATAATGTCTGACCTACGTCGCAGTTAGGTCGGCCCATGTGTTGCGTTTCCGCAGTGGTCACCAGGGTTGATGTTGGCGAGCGGTGATTTTAATGTTCACCATTTTCCCATAGAATTGATGTTCCCATGACACAGTGGGACGACACTGCTCTAGCCTAACCTAATCTAACCTGACATTTACTAACTTTGGATTTTCGTTTCATGGGTTATCGAGATGTTTTCCACAATATTCTTGGGGAGTTCTCCGCTTTTGCCTTGGGCGACCATTGTGAGGGCGCGGAGTGCGAGTTGAACCAGTTGACCTTCTAGTCGGATTTTAACATGGGGTTCAACCATATGTACGTTCCGTATAGACATACAAATGCAGACGATGAGTCACAATAACATGACTGAAGTCAAAATACACATACATATGTCTTATATGGGTATGGCATATGTATACACCTTCTGTACCTCTCCCCTTCCTATTATGGGTTGGAAGCCTGGTTTCCTGTTCTTGGGGTCTGAGTTTTGGTGCTCATGTGGGGTTTGCTTCACTCATTTGCACATGAGTTTGGGTAAGTGTCATGTTTTTTCCTCGCTACTAGTCTGTGTATATGGTTCATGTGCCTTCTGTTGCCAAATGCTTATGCTCTTGTCCCTGGCTTCCAGTGCTTGCTTGGACTGTATTTCAGGTCTTTTCATTGCATTTTTACACCTACACATTGTTGTGTGTCTTAGTAGGTACCTATTGGCTATTTTTATGCTCGTGCTAGGCTTCTTGTTCAGATTCTAGTTGTAGACTCGGCCCAGTGTTCCAGTATGGCTCCGAGTTCTTCTCCTTGTCTGTCACTACCAGCTTCTGGGTTGCAATGTCTGCTGGTGTATGTGGCTTCCATTCACCCACTCCTGCCTATACAGTTCCTTTTCGGTGGGGCAGGGGGTGCTTGGCTTCTGGCCCTAGCTATGGCTTTTCTTTGTGTTCCTTTCTGGACAGTACATTTTTGCTTTAGTGGTACATGTCTTTCAAGGATCTCCTGCCTTCCTCAGTGACTTGTGCTTCGTTCTACCCTGCTGAGGCTGGTGATGCCGCTCCTGCGGGTTCCGGTGTCACTGTTTTTCGCTTCGTGTCTCGGGTTTCAGCTTGTGGTGCTCGGTTCCTTGTTGGCCTCTGCCTAGGTCCTTAGCTTTTAGGTTTCTCGCTGCCCTATTTTTGCCCTTGCTGTTTGCGGAGTTTGTGGTTGGCAGTTTCTGCAAGCAGCGGCTTCTTACCGTCAGTTATCGGGCTTATTGTTCCTTCAAGGGGTCCCCTGGAAAGCTGATGCTTCCCGGACGTGGTGTCGGCTTGGCCGGGTTGGTTCTTTCCCAGCTCGCCGGGTTTGGGTTCCTGTTCTCTAGCGGACGTTCCTTTTGGTTCTTTGACAGCCGTGGTTCCAGCGCGGCTTGCTCGGTGTCCACATCCAGGGGTTTTCCCATGGCTCTGCCTCTTTTACATGGTCGGTCCGGTCTGTTGCGGGGCTGATTCGGTCTTCTCCTCGAGTCTTCTCATTTGGTACTTTTGACTCTAGTCTTTCACCATTTGTTGGGTGGTCAGGTGGCTTCTTGAATGTGTCACACCTGTGCGCTTCTTCTCAGCGGTATGGGGTTTTCTGGCTGTCCTTTTTCTTTTTGTCTCTTCGAAGGTGTACGCTCTTTGTTGTCGTGGTATTGTCCTCCTCTCATGGTGGTTTAAGGCCTTCTTCTGACCGCATACCGTCCCCCCCTGTCTCGTGCGACACTGACGGAGCCGCTTTGCATTGCTCAGGTTTTGTTGTTCCTTCTGCACAGTTCGCAGGTTGTCTCGCTCATTGTTCACCTCTGGCCTGCTTATGCTCCACCCGAGCCATCCTGCTCTGGGGCAGAGTGCTCTTTTCTCTATTCCCTTCGGTTTGTTGTGGCCCCTTC